ATATATATATATATTAGTATTCGATAATTATATTGTAATCATAATATTGTGTGCAATCTGTCAAGCCCACTGGAGTCTCGTCAATAGGTCATGCATGTGTTGATAGCTCTGAAGTAAACTAATCCTGAAACAGAAGCTGCTCCGGAACAGGTTATGTTCAGGGAATAAGTTGCTATGGCTGCTTACATACCCAGAGAGGTACCTTCGTTTTTGGAACAGGAACCGCGTGCTAGACAAAACACAACACGCGCGGACAGAGGAACGCACGGCCCAGTATTTCATGCTGTCATGTTTTGTGTGAACAAGCCGCTTGAGTGTTCTCATTAGCTGCTTGCTCTGAGTTAAAACTTGAAGTCTGAGTTGACTAACCCTGAGAAGGGAAACTCTCCCCTTGTCCAAATATCCACACTTGCGGTCTTTACACTTGACCACTTATATAACGTATTTCCTGTATTTGGTCCAAGTGAGCATGAAGACCACAAGTGCGTGTAGAACGTTTCATTACCAGGGGTGTATTCCAGAAAGCACGGTTAACTTACCGTCAGCTAAACCCTGAACTTTCGGTTGATTAACCCCAAACCTTACTTACTCGAGGTATGTGGTTCCAAAAACACGTCCGGGAGTAAGTTCATTCAACTCCGAGTATGTTCCTGGTTAAGACTCAAGACATTCTCAACAGAGCGACGAATCGACGAGTCGCTATGGAAACGGACGCTAAGAAAAAGCGCCATGCTGTTTCTTTCTTCTTCTTTTGTTCAATGGTCGTTTACATGCTTAGTGCATATCGCCACCTAATTGATGGTTGTGCAATCATTTTTCTTTTTTTTTCATTTAATCTTTAATCCTTGAGAATATTAATTATATTGTTTGTTTGATGATAATTATATATTAAGTCATATCAGATATGTATTTTGATTTAGAATTTCCGTTTTTTAAAAATTCTCAGAAATCATGTTTTTTCATTGTGCATTCCAGTTAATCTCAATCAAACTGCAGTTGGGTTATTTTGACTAGGTTAAAAAAATAACAAAAAAAACAAACAGCTGACTAACACAATAAAACACAATAAAAACATGGTAATATAACAAAAAAACATAACAAGATTTATCTGTTTTTGCAAATAAAATCTTCATATAATAAATTAAACATTACCTTGTCATAATAGTGTTTTCTAATTTATACAGATAACTGTTATGCCAATAAAATACACAATATACAAAAAAACAATATATATATATATATAGTTGTATGATATGTTAATTATATACTGTATATATATATATATATAGTAGACTATATTACAGAAGCTGCTCCGGAGCAGGTTATCTTCCGAGAGCAAGTTACTTTGGTTACTTACTTACCCTGAAAGTAACCTCTGATTTTGGAACCGAAAGCTGAGGTTATCCGCTCTATATCCTCATAACCTGCTTTCTGGAATACACCCCTGATGGGATACACTTATAGTGTTGTAAAAATGCAAGTGTTTACAGAGCTTTATTTTTATTTTCAATACTTTGCATTTTAAAATCAACTTCTAAATGTCTGTTCAGTAGTCTATATAACAGATGACAAAATGTAATGTTGTGATGCTTCTAATTAAGTGATAAAAAGCAGTTGCAAATGTTGTACAAAATAATTAGCACCACTACTCATTGTTTTTACTACCAAATTATATGTAATATCT